TTTTTTTTTTGGTGGCTGGCCACCACCGGGATCCTAAACCTTGACCTTGGTACAACACTGTGCTCTAACCAATTGAGCTAACTGGCCAGCCTTCTCAGTCTTTTAATATGCTTATGTGCACTGTGATTTGGCAAGAGAAAGATGCAGAATGAGAATTTCTTAAAACTTGTTTGACCACAGAATTCACTTGTAGGTGAAGCCATATCTTTGATAATAGTGTTCCTCAGCACATACTCTGAGAAGTATTTAATGACCCTAAATGCTAGACCAGTGATCTGAGCATGTAATTTTTCTGCATTCTCCTTGATCACAGTAATCTCTACATTGAAAGATGGATAGGTTTAGGCAGCTAATTCATTGTGTGTATATGTATGTGTATGTGTTTTTGTGGGTGTGTGATGGTGGATTTATTGTGTAAGCTACTAGAAAATATTAATATATGAGGTCAAAAAACCTGATGGCCCTTACATACCTTTTTGGAAAAAGTGTGAACATATGTAAGTAAATGAAACTGGTAACTAATTTGGGTGGGACAGAAGAAATCAAAAATCTTTTTGTCTTTTCAAGCTTTATATGTAATATATTTGGAAGAAATCCTTTCATACCATTTAACTAGTTAGGCACATCGAAAGTGGGAAGCCCACTTGGAGCTAGACTCCTTGAGTCATGGGACCTGACTCAATCCCAGCTCTGCCAAATCATATCAACCCTCCATGAGTGTGTTACTTTGTGTAAATGGGGTTAATAAGCTCTTCCTCACCAGGTTAAGTCTCAAATGAAATATGTGAGTACATTAAGTGAGGGAGACAGTGTTTTGCCAGAAATCCAGGCCACCTGAGGAGAGGCAAAGGTAGTTGCTAGCTAAGGGAGTATATCAAATAAAGTATCTGGGAGGATGAGTTGCCTGAGGAAGCTGTATATAAAATTTTTTTCCTGGTGCTTTGGGCTGGTGTAGACTTAAGTGTGGAATACCAGTTATTGACATTGGTGGGAAGGTCAGAGTGTTTTGATTGGTGGATCTGCCTGTCTTGAGGTATTCTCCGTCAGACTAGGGTAATCTCTGTGAGCCAGTAGTTTTTGCTTAGGCTACTAGAGCAAGGACCTTTTTAAAAAGGCCATTTCTGGTGCCACAATGTGGCCCTTGTACCTTTTCCAAAGCTGGGTTAATAACTGGAACAGGATAAACTTTTTCAAAAATTTGAAATGAAACGTAAGTAAGTAGGCCAAAGCTATTGTTTCATGTATCTAACACAGTTTTTTTAAAATCAGACCTCTGGAAGTGATAGTGTCACTCAACTTGTGCATTGTTTTTTATTAAGAACCTCAGGTTCACTGTCACACTGCTTGCCATATTGTTTTAAAATACTTCATGTGCACTAATATAATGCTGTTAATACTGCAAAAGCTTGTCTTGACTGTTGCCTAGAAATCATTCTGCTCTCCAAATTGATTCTTTTTTTTTCTAAGTTAGGTTTATTGAATTGTTATTTTCACAAAGTAACATTTAGTCCCCTTGCAGTGTATACTTCTGTGAGTTTTGACAAACGTATATAGTCATGTAACCACCACCACTATCAAGATACAGAATAGTTTGATCACTCCCCAAAATTCCCTCATGTTCCTCATCCCCTTCCTCCACTCACAAGCCCTGGCAACCACTATATTCGTATAGTTTTAGATTTTCCAGGATGTCATATAAATGAGATCATACTCCTGGTTGATTCTTACTCTGAAGAAAACTTGATAAAATTCTAAAATTTGAACTCCCCCCCCCCCCCC